TCCAATGATCAGTCAGCTAGATCCAACCTAACAGTACCAAATGTGGGAAGGAGCAGGAAGGGAAGAGTAGGTGTATAGTGGACTTCTGTTCCCCAATAGGGACACTAAAAACAACTGTTCCTCATGCCACTCAGCTGGGGAGGTCTTAAAGATACCTTTTTAAGACCTTACCTGTGAAAATCATGTTAGGCCAAATTAAGCTGATGGACCTCAAATTAATAAAACAATTATAAACAGTGAGTCCTTGTATGTCTTGCTTCCTTATTGCAGTAGACTAAAAGGTCTACATATTACAATGTCACAAGCAGCTAACGTTTATAAAGACTCATGATTGAAAACTGTCTCTACTGCAGTCCAAATGAATTTGTTTCTTGGACATTATCAAACTTTTCTTGAAAATTAAAAGATTCTCTAACTAATATCAGTACTTTTGCTCACAAAGTTAGATCTTATATTAGTACATACACATGAAAAATTTCTGAAAAAAACCCAAACCACCAAGAGCTTTTTACCGTTTATTATTTATTATGATAGCATATGGCAGCAACAGAGAGGCTGAAACCAAGATGTACAAAATTGAGGAAGGTTATCTGTTAATTACAGTTTTATTATTTGTCTTTTTAACCCACATAAAACTAAAAGCTTTAACATTTTAAACAACACACTGGAACTTTAATGTCCTCTCTATTCCAGCTACTGGTTTCTTCCACCTGCTGCCAGGAAGCGTAAGGCTGAAACATTAGTAATGGATATCCACCACTAAACCCATTTTTCTTAACAAAAAGAGAAAGGCATAATGCCAGGCACTAAAATTATGAAGCCTTTCACTTTAGAAGGCCTACACCTGTACACCCAGTAACCTGTCTTTTGTCAAAGAATTTAACAGAAAATTCATTCAACCCTTGCAATAAAGTCCATGGTGGAGTAAGACCTTGTGTTAGGGCCCTAAAAAGAAAAAAAACCTGTCAGTTAGTAATACATTAGCCCTGTCCTCCAAAAACATTTAAGGTTTTCCTGAGGTACACTGACTAAACTATTGAAATTCCTTAAGAAGGGAAACTAAAAGTCTGAAACCGTAGACCAGCAAAGAGGGATAGGGTAACACTTGAAAAGCTTAAGTCCCTAGACACGGTTTCATGAGATTATATATACTGATGCCCCAGTATAATCATTATGAAGTTATTTCTGAGAAATAATTATCTTTTAACTAGAAAAAAGAATGCTTACACATAATAACCAAAGAAATGTTATACTTGCCATTTATAACCCTTTTACACTGCAACATCTTTATGTCAATCAGCTCCTGAAAAGAATAAATAAAAATATCTCAGTAAATTGAGTTTAAAATGACCTAACTCTAAACAGTTGCCCATTTTATTGAAAAATAGCTACATAGAAATACTAAATAAAGAGAATACAAATTAAAATAGTTTAACTATACATGCTCAACTGAAGTTTCCAAATATGAATTAAACATATAAATTTAAGAACATGATATGTTTACATAGTTCTAGAAAAATCATTTTGTTTACATACCTATCTAGCAACCCATAAACAAAGCAGAACAACTACAACTACTACAAGAATAGAAAGAGGAAATAGTTTATGCTATAACAACAGACCACCTCAAGAACTATTGTAGATTTGTACTAGCCAAACACACAGGTAAACAAAACAGCAATATTAAACTTTAAAACCTCTTTATCCTAATCCCAAATTTTAACAGTTTTCTACATTTATTAAAAAACAAAACAAAACTTTGTGCTGACCTTTACCAGAGAACTTAATACGCAATCACAATTCCTCCAATATTCGTGTCTTCTGTTAGAAGCCTAGAACTTCAATCTACATATATTAGCTTAACTGCAAATTTACACAACCCAATTTATTAAGGACACCAGTTGAGTCCTTTCCTCATATGTATCTTATCACCTTGATTACAGGTGAGCTTTAAGACAACCTGACTATCTTTAATTGACAATGGGTTACAGCTTGAGCCAATATAACTTGTTAGTTGCTGAAATAAATATGCAGCTGTTAAAGTGTTACATAAATGGAGAAAAAACCCCCATTCTGCTATAGTGTTAGTTACTTACAGAAGTTTAGTGTGCTGTAGAATCTTTGTTTTAAACAAATAAGATGAGGTTTAGGACCTGGTAATTTACAAGCAAGGAATAAGTAAGTAATAAGTTGAACTAACATCAATTTGTCTACTCTACACCATAGATTTCATGTGTAATACTTCTAATTTATGATTTTAATGATTATTCTTTATTGGGTACTGTTCACATTAAGTTCTGAAACAACTTTGGGTTCCAAAATGCTGAGGAGACTCAGGGGGAAAAGATTGGAAAACAAAAGAATAAATCAGAAAATTAAGTTTTACCATACAGAAATGCCATCACAAAATGCAGTTTTCTGTGCTGTTCTGCTGCCAAACAACTAAGGTTTGCCTAAAACAACTATTTTATAATATATGATTAGCTTTTAAGAAAAGCTACACAGCATAGTTATTCTGATAACCTGTAATAAGGTAGATATCTAACTGCAAATGCGAATTCACATTCAAAGGCATCTGAACTTTCAACAGCCATAAAAAAAACAGAAAAGACAATATAGGAGACCTTATTTTTGAGGGGAGATGAGGAAAACCGTAACAGGTTTTCAGCTACAGAAATAACTTCCACACTTTAAATTTTGTTACATATTGCAACTTGTTAAGTAAGTTTGAGGGTCCTTTTTTTTGAAGTACTGTTTCTCTAGAATTGTGACAAAAGGTATGTGTGAAAAAGAAACTGCTTTAGCTATAGAGTTTATAGTGTTGGATTAAATAATTTCTCATACTCTGTGACTTCAGCAGTAAGTAAAGCAATACCTTTATATGTGCAGTTTGTTGTGGATTTTGGTTGCGTTGGTTTTTGCCTTTTTTTTTTTTTTTTTTTTTTTAAGAAAAAGCACAAGAAACAATTTCTACGTTATTCGCTTCCACTAATTTCTTACATAACAGCCTTGTCAAATTTGTAGTAAATAAAATCCAGTAGCTGTTTGGTAACAAGGTCCTTTTCTATGACAAAGAAATGTAAGAGATACTGGAAAAGTACAAAGGCTGTCTGAAGCCTGATTCATTTTCAGTGTTTGACTTGTAGATTTGGTAACTCTGATTTCTTTATACGTGATCCACAGTTAGCTTCCTAGAGAATAAAAAAACATATATTTTCACTTAATCCCTTGTAAAGCAGAGAGGTCAATTCATACACCAGGAAACTGTTAATTATTTTTTATTAAAAAAAAAAGAAATCCTCACCTTCCTACTCCTAATTCTAAGATAGACAGCAGTAACTATTCTACTGAATTCTGAGATATCTTCTAAATCATTCAGCAATAACTTTTCTTTCACATGGAGCTGATCCACCTAATTAAGTATCATTTCTAATTCTACAACCTAGAGACAAAATGTGAGCTATGGCCAAGATAAAAATAGTGTATTGTCTCCCTGAGAACAAATCTTTCCTTTTTCCTTCTCCAGAAAGGGTAGTGAGCTAAGTCATGAGAGAACTGCTGTGAAGATTCCTGGAGAAGATCCTAAGCAACTGATTCTGACAGTTTGTTTCAGTCTGTTCTATGGGTACAGACCAAACTTTTGCCAGGGAAGCCAGTCTTTAAGCCATGTTTATTCTACATTTAACTCTTGACTTTTTTTTAAATCTCTGCTGAATCATATAACTTGTACCAGTGCCTACATTTGTGAAGAGGTAATAATAGCACTGAAGGGGAGAAGAGGAATAGTGATGAGCTGCAACAGTAAGGATAGTGAAGATGAAGTACCAAGGCAGTCCAACCATAATATCTGCAACAAACTGGAGTCTCAACTTCAAGCAGCTTTAAGAAAAGTGGTTAAGCAACAAGGACAGCAGTGCTGTGCGGGGTACATAGGGATGCTCTGGGTTAGCACGACAGAACTCACTGGGTGAGAGGGTAGGTCAGTCTAACATTTCCTTCAGTGTTATGACTCTACTCAAAAAAACCCCAAAACAACACCAACCGAAAAAACAGAACACAGTTGAATGTGCAGAAACTGTTATGGTGTCTTGTCTAAATGAACTTAAATTACTAAATGGTCTTATAATATGGGTTTGCCATAACTTGAGGAGCGCTCAAAGGGAAAGGCCTTACGCCCTAGAGATTCTTCCTTCCCTATTTTTCTAATGAAAAATATATGTAAGAGAAAGTTGTACCCAAAAAAAAAGAAAAAAGAAAAAAAAAAACACCAAAGTAAATTTGTACTTCTAATATTAAAGATGTTATCAGTTAACACTGCCTCATCTGCTCGTCCTTCATACCTCACAGTACACGATATCAGCGCCATAGTCCAGAGCCAGAAGACGCATCGGCAGTGTTCCCACTCGCACCATGGGCGCCAGGATCTTTTTTCCTCTAAAACACAGAGGTGTGTTCACCGTCATTCCCGTGGCCGTATCGCCTGCAAAAGAAGCCGAGTGGGATCGGCCATGGAACGTAAGCTCCCACTCGCCAACACCCGGCACTTGCCTTTGGCGGGGGGGGGGGTGTGTGTGTGTGTGTGTGACCCTGTCAAACCCGCCGGGGTGGCCGCAGCAGCTCGCAGGCCGCTCCCGGCTCCACCGCGGTTTGCTCAGCTCCCGCGGCGCTGCGGAGAGCTCCGAGAGAGCCCCGGGGGTGCTCCCCGCCGAAACGGCTCCTTCCCCCGAGTGAGGGGCGCCGGGCCGCCTCGGCCAGAGCCCCCTCAGAGCCGTGGCTGCTCCCGCGGGGCGGGGTGTGTGTGTGTCAGTTCTCAGCCCTCAGCTGGAAAGACCAACGGGAAGGGGCCGCCGCCGCCTGAGGTACCGGCCGCGCCCACCCACCCGTGGCACTCACCCTCCTCGCGTGTCTCCGCCGCAGCTCTGGTGGGCGGGGGGACCCGGGGGAAGCGTCTCTTCACGGCGTCATCAGGCAGCGCCACTGCCGCCACGTGAGAGGCCGCCATGGCGCTGAGCGGCGGCGGGGCGGTGGGCGCTCTCCTGCCGCGGCGGATGGCGGGCACCCGGGCGGCGGCGGCGGGAGCGCGGCCCCCCGAGAACGTGGTGCGCGTCCCCTGGGCCCTGCGGATGCGGCTGCAGCGGGGCGCGCAGCGCCGGCGGCGTGGGCAAGGGGAGGCGGCGGCGGCGGCGGCGGCGGCGCGGTCTGGGCGGCTGCTGCTGCGGAGCCGGCGGCCGGAGCTGAGCCAGCCCCGCTGGCAGACCGTGGGGCGCTGGGACCAGCCGCAGCTGGTGTCGGCGGGCTGGAAGCACAGGAAGGCGTGCGGGGACTACTTCCATCTGGAGCCCTCGCAGGAGGTGGCTCCCGCCTTGAAGCAGTCGTCGCTGCCTGAGGCGGAGCGGGGCCTTTCTTTCACCGAGATGGGGCTGCAGCCGGCGCTGCTGGCCGGCCTGGAGGCGCTCTCCATCGGCCGCCCCACGGCGGTGCAGCGCCTCGCCATCCCCGCGCTGCGCCGCGGCCGCAGCGCCCTTTGCGCCGCCGAGACCGGCAGCGGCAAGACGCTGGCCTACCTGCTGCCGCTGCTGGACGGGCTGCTGGCCCGCCCCGAGGGCCCGGAGGCGGCGGAGGGGCCGGCCTCCCCCCGCGGGCTGGTGGTGGTGCCGTCGCGGGAGCTGGCGGTGCAGGTGGGCGCCGTGGCGGCGGCGCTGGGCCGGCCGGCGGGGCTGGAGGTGCGCGAGCTGACGGGCGGCGGCGCGGCGGGCGGGCTGCGGAGGCAGCTGCGGGCGCGGCCGCCCGGGGCCGCCGTGCTGCTGGGCACCCCCGGGGCGCTGCGGCAGGCGCTCCGGCGACGGTTCCTGGTCCTGGAGCGGCTGCGCTGGATGGTGCTGGACGAGGCGGACAGCCTGATGGACGACTCCTTCGTGGAGCCGCTGGAGGAGATCCTGGCACACGCGCCCCTGCCCGTGGGAGCTCCCGGGCCGACCGGCCCCGGCGAGGCAAGGATCCAGGTGGTGGTGGTCGGAGCCACCTTCCCCGCGGGGCTGAGCGAGATGCTGGGGAAGTTTACCGACGTGGACCAGTTTGTCACTATCACCACCCAGAGCCTGCACCGCCTGCCGCCCCATGTCCAGCAGAAGTTCGTCCGCCTCAAAGGCTGCGACAAGCTGCCCGAACTGCTGCAGCTGCTCAAGGAGCGCCCGGTGTCCAGTGGGGCTGTTCTCATCTTCTGCAACAGTGCCAGCACTGTCAACTGGCTGGGCTATATCCTGGATGACCACAAAATCAAGCACCTGAGGTTGCAGGGACAGATGTCAGCAGCCGCTCGAGCTGGCATCTTCGCCTCCTTTCAGAAGGGTGATGTGCCTGTCCTTGTATGCACTGACCTTGCCTCGCGGGGGCTGGACACCAGCAGCGTGCAGCTGGTGGTCAACTATGACTTCCCAAATGCCCTGCAGGACTACCTGCACCGCGTGGGGCGAGTTGGACGGGTTGGAAGCAAGGCACCTGGAGTGGTGGTTAGTTTTGTCACCCATCGGTGGGATGTGGACCTGGTGCAGAAAATAGAGACTGCGGCCCGGAAGAGGACAGGTCTCCCAGGCATGGACTCCTCTATTAGTAAGCCTCCACCTAAAGGAGGTTGATTCAAGTTGCCAAGCAGTAATGAAGGGCCTGGTAGGGACTAAGCTTCAAGTCATTAAGGCAGAGGGAACGAGCTTCTGTGTGTAAGCTAGACTGAAAGAGAATTGAGTTTCAGAACCATGTGATCAGGTTAACTTTGTGTGCTGTTCTGGAAGCTGCAACAGTCATTTCCATAGGCATCACAACTCACAGCTTTCCAAAAGGAAGCTGGTGAGTGAGTAATAAAATGCCTTTGGAGAAGACCAAAGGAGGAGCTCATCAGTTGATTTTTGTTTCATTTTGCTGAGACTTTTAGCTTAAGTTCAATTCAGAATAAAAGTATGCCTGTGTGATGCACAGTTCTGTTGCAGTTCATTGCTTCCTACCACCGGGAGCTAAACATTCATTATTAAAAATTACTACGGTGGCAGAAAAAAAAAAAAAGAAACTATTCCTAACTTGGACATAACTTTCACCAATTTTAGGTACATCTAGAAAGACTGGAGGATACATAAACTTTGATTTTCTTGTTCAGTCAGAGAATTCTAGACCAGATGTCTTTAAGGTTTGGTGGGAATGAGAAAGCACAATAAAGCTTGAGGCTTTTTCAAGGTCTTAATTTGTCATGTTATAGTTACATTTCACTGAGAAAGGGGATTGTGCTGCTTCATGTTCTATTAATAATAAATTAAAAAAAAGACCTTAAGTGTTTTCTGCTCATTTTTTTCTGTACGCTGTAGTGGCATGTCCAGTCTCTGAACTGATTGTAAAAACAAAAAACAACAACACACCAAAAAATGTCTCCTATTAAAGCAAAGAAGTGTGTTGACTCTAAGGTTCTAATGACTCCCAGGTAACAGTGAGTACAAGATTTCTTTTGAATGTCTTGCCATTGTTCTTTTCTGCTTTCAAGTGAGCCTGAGGTTATTTTGTATCTAGCTGCTAGTTTGTATCCATGGTAAATAATCACACAAAAATAGCATTTTAGCTCTGATTTCTGTTGCAGTGATATATCACAGCCTTGTTTTTTTAGTGGTTGTTTTTTTCCCATGGTATCCACTGTAGCCTATGCTAAAACTCAGTATGTAGAAATAGTAAGCTGTTAAATGAAAAAATCACAGCATAGTATTTAAATCATTGGTTTCAGAGGAAATAAGGCACTGGAGGTTCTTTTAGTATACTGGAAGTAAAAAATTAAACAGAGAACTTGAATAGATAATCACTTAAGGATAAGGCTATATAACCTTATCCTAGAAATTGTACACGTATTCTGTTCACTTTGCACAGTTAAGAGGTTCTTGGGGGAAGTTAGAAGCTATGGTAAAAATTATTTAATACAATAGAAACCTTTCAGCTTTATAGAAATGTAGTGAAAGAGTGATCCACTCAAGAGACTGGAAACCTTTATATTTTGGACCCATTTATTGCATGGACTACTTGCCTCTCATCTGTAGTTCAATTAACTGCAAATCAGGCGATTTATGTGTCCACAAGCAGAACCTTGCTGTTCCTGCATGGGAGCAGGGTAAATCCTTAAACATAAATCTAGGGACCATCCAGTATTATAATTTCTAAAGACCCTATTTCCATTTGTTAATAGGCATCTTGTGTTGTATCAGGTCTTCTGAACTGCTGAGGAAGAGCTTGCTTTAGCTGTAGACACACAGACTAATTTAAAGGAGGTAAATTGTATTCAAGGAATTCCAAGTAAGAAATTTTAATATTTGCTTGCCTGCTTTGCGTAAGCAATTTCAGGCTGACTATCTCAAGTGTCATAGAATTTGAATCTGATCTTTTTCAAAGCTGTAGCACTTCACTGTATTAGCATAAATATCAAGTTATTAGCTGGTTCATAGAGCAGAGCATCTTTCTTTCTCGAGGCAGCTGGTGATGGTGATTGCGCTTCCCAGTTCTACATACAGAGTTGCACTGTTAAATTTCTGAGGAAGATTGTTGCTTGGGATCTCGGATATTCAACTTTAAGTATTTGCCTTCTCATACAGCTGTTACACTGGACTAAATCAATCATTTGTTTGGGCTAAAATTTTATAACTGTTGCACATGTAGTGTACTGTAATACTTAATTCTATTATCTCCAGTTTCTAGCTAAATAATGCAACCGAAGTTAACCCCAGTTAAATGATGTCACATAAACAATCACTTCAGGCACAAGATCCATGGTTTGACTATGTGGCAATGGTTGTTTATAATTAATGCATCTGCATAATTTGTATCTGTAACTAAGTGGCATTGGTGATAAGAGACTAGGTTTTTTCTTGAGTTAAAATATGTAGAAGGAAAATGGGGGGAAGGTTGACTTCTGATAAATTATCCAGATTACAAAAGGGGGTGTGGGCATAATTGACACTTAATGTATCATTCTATTTTATGGGCACTACAAGGACATTCAGATACATTAAAAATGAATGATTGGTGTATTACACATTACAGAAGTTAATTGTGTATGTTCTTATGGCTATACAAGGTTATATTTGGATATTTTTGCTATGGTTTTTAGATGTGTAATAGGTAGTTTCACTTCTCTAACTCACTTTTAAAAACTCAGTAATGTAGTCCATGAATCTGGAATCATGATACAATGAATCCCCTGACAGGTCAGTCTGGACTGCAGCACACAATATTATCAAATTAGACACCACAGTGAAATAATAAAGTTCTTTCAGCTATATGCTTCTTAATTTTGAAGTAATATGCACTTTGTATGTTTACAAACAATAACCCTGAACTTGGTACAAATGTTCTAAACTAATTGTTGCTAGGACACTGTTGGTGAAAACAGTTTATTAAAACAAAACAAAACAGTACAAAACACCCAGAAAACCCTTTTGGCCTTTATATACTGAAGTGGCCAGTAAAAAGCCTTGGGTAGATATACTCAGAGAACACTATATTTACCAATAAAGCTTTTTGTAAACATTGCTTTCAAACAAAACCACAGTTCTTTTAAGCATACATTGAGAAACACCACTTTCATACTGCTGCTCACAGAGACAGTTACTGGAGCCAGTGGTTAACAGCAGTAATTGTATTCAAATCCTGGGATATATAAACTGATACAGAGCCACCAGATGAAGACATCCACATCACCGACATGCCATGTGAAAGGTTTTACTACCCAATTGGTAAATACTATAGTAAAGCCTTTATGGAAATTTAGAGATCCTATCACAGCTAGCAAGCTAAAAGTATATATAGCTCGCATGTTGTCAAACTTGTTTAAGAAACAAAGACATATTCAAAGACTTTTTAGTTTGACTTTTCCCAAACTGCTTTTCAGTGCTCTCTAAACATCACATCACTCGTTGTTCACATCCTAATGACTGTCTACACACATAATTAACTGCTCTTTTCTTGTCTGTCCATATTCTACCTTCTGTGTAACTCTTATTTTAGACTTTATGGGCATAACTACAACTGCACATGAATTCTATCTTACGGGCACTACAAGGACGTTCAGATACTTCTGTTGCACATAGCCCAGTGCCTAGCAAGGTAACCCTAGGACAAGCTGTGTCAAGTGTCCTAACAGCCAGATGTGAAAATGCCTTCTGCCACTCAGGTAATCTGACAAAGTCCACGTTTTTGCAGGCTGCACCACTCCCTGAAATGCACTTGTATACCTGTTCTCCCCAGTCAGCACCCTTTACTCTCTTCTTCCTCCTGAAATGTATTTGTGAGCCCAATTCACACGTTAGTTGTCGAGTGCGTGGTAGAGAAGTTCTCCATGCGTATTCTGACCAGTTTCTCAGTGGGAATTGGCTGCAGGAAGAACTTGCAGGTGAAGACTTGCCGGCAGGCCTTGCGGAAGTTTTCTGAGAGGAAAGCGTAAATGATGGGGTTGATGCAAGAGTTGCCATAGGCTAAGCAGTGAGAGATGATGCGGAAGGTGAAGGAGATGTTGTTCAGGGGAAACTGCCCAAATTCTGCCCACATTGTGATGATGTGGTGTGGCAGCCAGCAGAGCAGGAACACGGTGACTACAAGAAGCACTGTCTGTGCTGTCTGGAAAAGACAAAATTGTGTATTAAATGGTCGCAGTGATTAAGTGAGTCTGTGGCATGGCTGACTGCCTTCATCTGTCAGCAGTGGAGGCAGCATAACACAGGCAACACTGGCAAGTACCAGGTGGGAAAATTATGACAATGTGAATAAGGATGCTGAAAAACAACCCTCCTCCCTGGAAAACAAGGATTACCTGGTTTTGGCTCAAGCAAATAACTCCATAGGCACTGGAGATAATGCTCATAAAACCTTGAACAGTACAGAGGCTGCAACAGCAATGCAAACATGGAAAAGTCAAAATCATATCCTCTAACATTTGTAGGCTGAGGAATGTTAAGATCATTCAAAATAACAGCAAGTGAAGACAGTCTGGCTGCAAGGAAACATGCCATTGAGAGGAGTAACAAAGATTGACCTGAGGAGAAAGATGTTTTCCAGTAGCTTCCCTTTTACAGGAGAAACCAAGATAAACAATGCATGGAGGAATTTTTTTTTTTTTTTTTTTTTTTTTTAATAAGCAGTGCTCCTTGCTTAGAAATATTCCTAGCTAAACAATTGCCTGAGGGAGCCTCGCTGTGCCTGTGGGACCCCAGTTTATGATCTGGATGGGTTAGAGGTGTGCCCCTTTAGCACTCACTCTCTAGTTAGGTTGGCACTGGCCATTGTCACAAGCCGCCATTTATAAGCTTGACCTGAGGTAAAATTCTCCTGAGATTTTCAAAATCACCATCCAAAATGAAGGTTAACATCAGACAAGTTGTTGAGTGCAGTTGTGGTAGCCCCACAGCTGAGGCTGGGGAAGAGGAACGAGGGCTGAGGTGGTGCCTTGGGAGGGCCGAGGAACAGGGTGGGGCAGCGTGAGGGGGTGGCTGGGTGCTGCCATCTTGGGAAGGGTGCAGGGAAGGGCAGACCAAAGGTAGGTGGTATTAGCTGCTTGAGTTATTTGGGTGTGAGATTTAGCAGGTTGTTTCTTTGGGTTTTGCTTCTTTTAGTGAGGGGGAAAGGGTAGCTTGGGGCTCAGTCTGTGAGGAAGTTGGGCAGGGAGAGGACTGAAGGTGAAGACTGGGGCACCTGTGTTTCGAGACTGTGAGTCCAGGCTGTTTGCCATACCTGAAGCGGACATCCTTGCCAATATAAGCAAAGTTTCTTGCCCTATAGATATTGTTGTGAAGTTCAAGGAACATCAATGTCATATAGTTAAGGATGTGTGCTATAACAAAAGCACTCTTTTAAATAATTTTGGTTTATTTATTTTTTAATTTTCCTGGAAGGCTTTGAAGAGGATGAAGAATGACTTCTATTTACTGCATGCTACAGTACATAAAATTAACTATAAGTTACTTCAGCTTCCTGTCTGTAGGACCCTGAGGCCTGTGGGAGTGGGACCTCACTTCTCAAGTTTAAGAAGGTAGAGGGTGTTGCTTTTCTCTCACTTTCTACTTCTACCACATTCAGAGATTACCTAGCAAGGCTCAGAGGTTACTGACTTGGGGCACTTGAGTGACTTTCCTAAGGTTTTTGTAAGGATAATTCCACCTGACCTCAGGAGTTTTCAAAAATACTAATGGTAATGGAAGATGAGCATTTTAAAAAAACATTTAATCCCTCCTTTTTGAAGTACTGTAGCAAATGCACAACAGGTGACTTCCTTCCTCTCTCCCCACTTGATTCTCAGTGAAATGT